CTTCGTCATGTGATGCACGAGAGCTTAGCACCTTTTGACCGGAATCGAAAGAGAATGATACGAAAGTTATTCACACAATTTCGTTTAAGATGATGAAGGACTGGTAGTAGAATTTTCACACAATCAGATGATTAGAGCTGACGTTTACATTCAATTTCACATTTCCATTTCGAGTGAAAGTGTTGCGTGAAGAGATTCGAAGCTCGGTTCCACCAGAAGACGACAATCTCCTTCGATTCTGGTGAAAAGGTGCTAAGCTTTCGTGCATCACATGGCGAACACCATCAGAGCAAAGTATCATCGTCACAACCGAATTCAAGCTAACGAAACCCTACTTTCATACGAAAACATACAGAGACAGACACACTCACATGCATACCACTTTTTTGGGATTTGTCGGTGAGTTTTCTTGACTCGTTAGCTTTAATTTGGTTGTGACGATGATACCTTGCTATGATGATGTCCGTCACATGACGGACGAAAGCTCAGCACCTTTTGACCGGAATCGAGGAGAATGATACGAAAGTTATTCACACAATTTCGTTTAAGGTGATGAAGGACTGGTAGTAGAATTTTCACACAATCAGATGAGTAGAGCTGACGTTTACATTCAATTTCACATTTCCATTTCGAGTGAAAGTGTTGGGAGAACAGATTCCAAGGTCGGCTCCACCAGAAGATGACAATCTCCTTCGATTTCGATGAAAAGGTGCTACGCTTTCGTGCATCACATGACGAACACCATCAGAGCAAAGTATCATCGTCACAACCAAATTCAAGCTAACGAGTCAAGAAAACATACAGAAACAGACATACTCACATGCATACCACTTTTTTGGGATTTGTCGGTGAGTTTTCTTGACTCGTTAGCTTCAATTTCGTTGATGATGTTACCTCGTTCTGATGATGTTCGTCACATGGCGGACGAAAGCTTTGCACCTTTTTGCCGGAATCGAGTGAGATTGCCTCGGAAACAGCGTCAGCATGACTCTTCCAGTAAAGCCAGTCGACAGCGGGTCAAGAGGAATCGGCCGTTGTCTTCTGGTGGAACCGACCTTGGAATCTCTTCACGCATCACTTTCACTCGAAATGGAAGTAAGCTCACCAATTATGAAATAAGAGATTCCTCGAAACCCAACTTTTCTTCGCAATTTCACATTGCCTTGATTTCCCAAAAGTTGCTCTCATCCAGAGCAATGTGAAATTGAATGTAAACGTCAGCTCTACTCATCAGATTGTGGGAAAATTCTACTTGACCAATTGGGTGAATACATCTCATACTACTGATTTACTGATAGTCTCGAAAGTCTACTCAAAATACGAAAACATTTAATGACATTTTTAGCGCTTAATTGTGCTTTAGCAGAAATCGAGAAACTATATCATAGATGGGAAGAGCACGACAGTTTTGGCAACGCCATCGTCTCGCTGAAGAAGCCGACAAAACGTCTACGAATGTAGCAACTCAGTGGCCTGACGCTGGAGATTATCGTACCACGGCAGCAGATGCAGCAAGCATGCTCCATAAGGTCACATTTTTTATTGGCAAACTGTACAAAAGATGGTAGAACGCGAAAGTGATTATGAAATAAATTAAATTAATGCACGACTTTGGTGCCACCGGAGAGGGTGACGACCAAGCCAATCTTGTCGCGGTGCAATAAAAAGTCACTTTCTTGGCACAGCAACTCCATTGAAGGATCCATGCAGCCTCAGAACAAGCCACTTGTCTCGAGTTCTTATCTCCTCCAGCCAAGTAGTCATGTCAACCTTGAGAGCATCGCGACGACAGAGATCGACTGATCGTGTGGTTGTTGCTATGGCAACGTGAATTTTTCACATATCCATTGTTGCAGTCGGGTTAATTGGCCTGTGGCCGAGTTGCCGGTCGATGCTGCTTCGGTCCCGAGGGACTGCCGTCGGCCTGTCCGTCTGTCCAACCTGCAAACCCGACGAGCGAGTTTGCATGGCGTCGAAAAGTGTAGACATTTCAGCTGCACATCGTTCGAGCCGGTGGTCGTTTGTGTTTTTTGTGTTGCCATGTTGGTATACAACTGCAAAGGTCAAACGGAAGCTGTTTCACGTGGTCAATGCAGGCAAAGCTGTCTCTCTCAACTTCATTTTGCCAACAATTGGACACTTTTCTGGCAAAGGGAAGTGGGCAAAGAGCAAAGTGGCCAGCCCAGGTTGCCGGGGGACAGAGTGGTCGAGGCGTCTGTGGGCCAAGAATGTTTTGAATGAACATTCTTGATTTGCAGATCAGATCGCCACTTCGAGGTCAGATGGCTCATAACTGCCAAAACATACCAATTCTGGCATAATGCTTGGGCTCAAGAGATGCAGCCTACAGCTTTTAATGTCCGATTGGATTGAGGTCAACTTGATGCAATAAGCACTCTTTTGTCAGAATTAGGCATCATTATCTGTTAGCAACTGTGCGCATTTGTGAAGGCTCTTTTGTGTTGAAGTGTCGCTGTGCTGGATTTCGGCTGTTGAGACATGATGGGGCAATTCAATCTTCTTTGAGTTGGACCGAGGGTCAGTTGGGAAATGTTCACTAATTCATTCAGCTTTCCGGTTCAAGCTCCGGAGCATATTTGCAAGGCAAAAGAGAACAAAGAAAAGTTGGTTTCGATGAATCTATTTTTTCATAATTGTTGAGTTCACTTCCATTTCGAGTGGAAGGTCGGTTCCACCAGAAGACGACAATCTCCTTCGATGCCGGTGAAAAGGTGCTAAGCTTTCGTGCGTCACATGACTGACATCATCAGAGCGAGGTAACATCGTCACAAACAAATTGAAGCTAACGAGTCAAGAAAACATACAAGGACAGATACATTCATTATCCCAACCATACTTATCTACAAACTTAGACAGTCTCAGTCAAAGATTTTCTCTTTAATTGTTAGGTCTTGAGGATCAGAACAAGAGATTTAATCTTTGACAAGTCTGATTTAGGAAGCGTATTGCATATGGACGCTAATACACACGCATATATGCATTCTCATACAATCGAGCAAAATTAACAGAACGAGTATGAAAGAAAATTAACCAAACCACTCTATATCAAAGTATCTAGGTTTCTAATTTTTAATTTTTTGGCTCGATTGAGTCTAAATAAGAAGTAAGACAGTGTTAACGTGAGACTATAACAAGAATGAAACCCAGCTCTGATGATGTCCATCGAATGATGGATGAAAGCTCGGCCCTTTTTCACCCGAAACGAGGTAGGAAATCTTGTGGACTGCGTCCACATGAACATCGTATGAAAGCAAAAAGGGATTCATCCTTCTTCATCTGGTGAAATCGAGCAACGAATCTCTTCTTCATGCACTTCCATTGGAAATGAAGGTCCGCCTAATAATCATAAGAGCTCAAACAAGAAATATAGTCAAACTGCTACCGAGGAGTGTATCG